GCACTCTACCCAGGGGGACAGCTTGAGGCTCTGTCTCACAAAAAAAAAAAAGAACAGCGCACAACTCATGGTGAACACTATTACATAAGCGATAACTACTTTAAGCATAATAATTATATCATCCCACGTAACCCTTAATCCCAGCCACCATTTCACCTAAGTCACCCGTGATTGGTGCTGAACTGTCCTGGAGACCAAGGCTGTATGGCACGGCCCTCATGTGCCCCTCCTTGGCTCTCTTGGTCTGTAGCCTCTGGCTCCTAGGCCAAGGGTGAAAAGGTGTTGCCAGCTCTAACTGTGTCTCTCTCTGGGGCTTGCTGTGTGTCACTAGAATCCTACCCCCTCTCCTACAGAATAACCGGCGGAGCCCTGGCAGGGACATCAACGTGACAGGTGTGTGGGAGCGCAATGTGACTGGGCGTGGGGTGACGGTGGTGGTAGTGGATGACGGAGTGGAACACACCATCCAGGATATTGCCCCCAACTATGTGAGTGGCCCTGGAATGACCCTTCCCACCACCACACTTTACCTCCTCCTTGATGTGGCCTCAGCCTCGTCCCCTCCCCTAAAGGTTTTTGGGTCAAACAAAAGCCTGGGTGGTGGGATAATGTTCATCTTCTCCCCTTTGTCCTGGCCAGCTTTCCAGACTGGCAGTCAAGGCCCCACAGGTGGCTCTAACCCTGTGGGAGAGCAATCCCAGGCAGTGCTTCCTGCTTCCTGCTTCCTGCTGCCACTCCTTCCCTGGGGAGCAGGGAGTGGCCCCTGTTGGCAACTTTCCTCTCCACAGAAGTTCTGTGTACCTTCCTCTCTCTGCAGTGTGGCTTTTAGGTAGCCCTAACCCTCTTGTGTCCGGGTTTCCAAAGCCATGGAGCAGTGGACACATTCCTACAGCAGGCAGGAGAGAAGTTTCCTCTTCTCAGTTTTGCTCCAGGCCTTTGCTCATATCTTGAACCCACATGGTTTGCAAAGAAAGATGGGCTTGCTGCCCTGGCTTGGAGTCCCAAACTCCCTGTTCCTTCCCTCCCTGTGCTCCAGGATTTGACCACATGTTGCCCCCTCCCCCAATATTTCAGAGCCCTGAGGGTAGCTATGACCTGAACTCGAATGATCCTGACCCCATGCCCCACCCGGATGCAGAGAATGGCAACCACCATGGCACTCGGTGTGCAGGAGAGATTGCTGCTGTGCCCAACAACAGCTTCTGTGCCGTGGGCGTGGCCTATGGGAGCCGCATAGCAGGTAACATGCTTTGATTCTAGCCTTGGTAAGGTGCTCCTGTGACCACAGTCTTCATTCTCTCTACCCCTTACCACACTGAAATGTCTTTATCCCACCCCTAACACCCCACACATGGCATAGAGCAAGGGTAAATTTATAATAGGCGTCTGTAAGACAAATGAGTTCAGTGATTTTTCAGTGCAGTGGTGTTTCAGACATGTTTTTTAGCAGCAGATCCCACTACTTGAAACACAGTAGACCATCAATGACCTTTTACTTGACTACGTTATATTGGTATTCTCATAATCTATAAAGTGCCTTCTTGGTTTTTCCTCTGTAGTCCCATGTTTATGGGGATGCCAGGAGGTCCTGGCTTTCCAGTTTCCAGTCCTACTGACAGTCACAGGTTGTTCTCCATCCTTTCAGGGGAGCTTATCAGCCCTGTTCTCCCCTGGCTGTGGTTCCTTTTCCTCTCAGTCTCTGTGGGGAATGAATGGGGAACCCTCCTTGCGATTCCTGGTTAATTCCTGGGAACTTGCAGAGTGCATAGACTGGCTGTGATCCTTTTACACTCCTGCAGAGGGCAGCAGCCCTCTGTAAATGAAACTACAGAGGGCTCAGAAACCTTAACTGTGGCCAGGTCCCTTGTTCTGAAAGGCCATTGGTCCCTCCATGGTCATCAGGATGTGACCCACCCATTTTAAAGAGCAAAATGGGGCATCCATGAGAGTAGCAATGGTGATGAATACCATTTATTGGATATCTGTGTCAAGCACTGTGCTAAGTGTTTTATTATGATTGAGAGTAAGGATAAGAAGGGAACCTTGGTTACATTCTAGCCTATGACTGTCCCACCAGACTCCGTGATTGTTAAAAATCTAAGATCTAGCATTATGTTAAAAAATATTTTTGGACATATAATATGTATACCTGGTCTAAAAATGTGTATAGTGCCAGAAAGCACTATACCTGTGGCTCCCCACCACGCACACATTTCCGGGTCTGGGGGACCAGCATTAGTAAGGAGCTGTTGTGGCCTTTGATGCCTAGGTATCCGGGTGCTGGACGGACCTCTCACCGACAGCATGGAGGCTGTGGCGTTCAACAAGCACTACCAGATCAACGACATCTACAGCTGCAGGTAAGGCAGAGCTGCGGTGAGGTAGGGCAGGTGGGATGGTAGAGGCTAGAGCATGGGGAATGAATCTGCCAACAAAAGGCCTGCAAATCCGCCGACCTAGGCAGGCCCAAGTAGGGGTGCCCTGGCTGGGTTCAACGAATAGGTCCATTGCCCTCCTTCCTCCTTCCTCCAGATCCCCAGCCCCTGGATTCTCCTTCTTAAGCTTCTATGTCCCCAGTAACCAGGACCACATGAGAGGCCCCAGCCTGCCCCACATTCTAAACTCATAAAGCCTCTAGAAGGAAGTAGACTTTCCTACTTTCCTACTTTCTTACTTCCAAGGGTAAGCTGAGCGCCCAGCACCAAGCCCTGCCACCCTACATAAGCGGACCTGCAACTTCAGGTCATGGCCATGGTAGAGGGAAAAGGAGAAACTGGAGTTGGGAAGCCCCCATGGCACTGATGGCACCTGTTCTCCCCAGCAGTACCTCCCTTAAATTCACAGCATTCTCCACAGGGTACATTTCCTCTTAGAGGAAAGAATAAAGAACGCTTCACTCTAAGAACCAAGAACATACACAGATCAGATATCCCTTCAGTGGTGCTCTGCTATCAAGCCTCATAGTAGATCCCTAGATCAGGAGAGGAGTCACCCCTGTCCCTCTCTGCTACTATGTACTTTCTCCTGCCACCTGAAAAAAGGAATTTTAGGAGCAGGAGAACATGGTCCTAAACTGGGAATATGTCCAGGGAAAGAAAAACTTCAGCACAGACTTCTGTTTTCTACTTTGGAAAAGGGATGGACCTTTGAACCCTACGTCTTGTAATCATGGGAGTCCTAAACTGGAACCCTTGGGAGGAGAGAAAGAGCTGCAGGCAGAAGGGTTGCCAGCCGAGACTGGGAGGCCCTGGGTGGGCAGCCACAGCCTGGATCTGCCCCTTCCCTCTGGGTATTTCTCAACAGCTGGGGACCAGATGATGATGGGAAGACAGTGGATGGCCCACATCAGCTTGGAAAGGTAACTGACCCACAAGAAGAGGGTGGGACACGCTCCTCACTCAGTCCTGGAAGAACTGCTACAACTCAGTCCCTCCCCACCCACCCCATTTGCAGTGCTAGCCCTGTCCCATTTGCCCCGCTGCCTCCTTTTAGGAAGAGCGTGCCTAACCTAGGGGCAGGAAGCATGGGGACACTAGGACTTAGACAGCAAAATGGAGCAGTGCTTTGTGATTGTTTTCCTTTGAAAACGATCCTCCACCCTGTCGTCTGATAAGCACAGTACACCATCAGACATGGTTCAAATCACAGCTCCCTCTCCATCTTGTGTCCGTCTTTAAATCTTTCCTCCACGCCCAGTGCCCTTTGAACTTTTTTCCTTTTCTTAGAAGGGATGGAGAGGGAGTCTGATGCACCAGGTAGAGGTCTTCCCATGAGTTCCTCAACTGATACCTGACGTTTTTGCTCCTCAGGCTGCCTTGCAACATGGGGTGATTGCTGGTCGCCAGGGCTTTGGGAGCATCTTTGTGGTAGCCAGTGGTAATGGGGGCCAGCACAACGACAATTGCAACTACGATGGCTATGCCAACTCCATCTACACAGTCACCATAGGTAGCGTTGCCCTGTGCGTGCGTGTGTGTGTGTGTGCATGTGTGTATCACTCAGTGGTGAGGGCACTGCGGATCTTAGTGTGCCTCAGCTTCAGTGTGTCTGTCTAAATGAGTGAGCCCAATCATCCCTGGGCTCGGACAGGACTGGCCCTGCTCTCAGAGGATCTTGAGACTTCCTTAGATGTCACCATACCCTGGGAACACCTTTAAACCATCATCTGGAGATCACCCTCAGTACCACAGCCTCCACCCCACACAACTAGTGAAGCCTCTTCTCTCGTCTCTCTTTCTGTGGTCTACTTGCCTCCTGCTTGAAGGATTCCCTAAGACCCCTCTAGTGCCCTTCACCCGTGCTCCCACTCAGAGGCTTTGCCACCCCAGCTGTATTTACCTACCTGAGTTCTTAGTTCTTACTTACCTGTAGGCTCCTTTTCTTTCTTTTACTTTTTTTCTTTTTCTTTTTCTTTTTCTTTTCTTTTTTGGAGACAAGGTCTCACTCTGTCATCCTGGGTAGAGTGCCATGGCATCATAGCATATAGCAACCTCAAACTCTTAGGCTCAGGTGATCCTCTTGCCTCAGCCTCCTGAGTACCTGGGACTATAGGTATCTGCCAAGATGCCTAGCTAGTTTTTTTTCTATTTTTAGTAAAGACAGGGTCTCAGTCTTGGTTTCAAACCCCTGAGCTCAAGCAATCCACCCAACTCAGCCTCCCCAAGTGCTAGGATTACATGTGTGAGCCACTGAGCCTGGCCACCTTTCTTTTTTTTAAAGAGACAGGATCTTGCTCTGTTGCCCACGCTAGAGTACAAACAAAGCATCATCGTAGCTCACTTGACCAAATGATGGTCTGTCTGGTGGTCTCACAACCACATTGACCTCCTGGGTTCAAGTGATCCTCCTGCTTCAGCCTCCTGAGTGGCTGTGACTTGCATGTGTAACCACACTCAGCTAATGTTTTTTTTTTTTTTTGTAGAGACAGGGTCTTGCTATATTGCTAAGGCTGGTTTTGAACTCCTGGCCTCAAGCAGTCCTTCCATCTCTGCCTCCCAGTGCTAGGATTGCAGGCATGAGCCACTGAGCCTGGCCTCTAGGCTCCTTGAGATTCCTGAGGATTGCAGGCATGAGCCACTGCACTTGAACTCTTAGGCTCCTATAGACTAAGACTGTGGCCTTTTCCATATGTTCCCGATGCCTAGCACAGTATATGACTCACAGTGGATGCTTAATCAGTTTTGAAAAAAATGGACACCTGAATGAATAAGTAGGTACAGGAGTGGAAAACCTCCACTTTTACCCAAGAGCCTATTGAAACAATAGTATTAGGGCACAGTATACTTTCTGCCACTTGAGGCTGCTTGTTGAGGTGAGGGTTGTGGGCACACTGAGGGACTCAGGTCACTCAGATCATGTTTTAAGCTCAGGACGGTCCCTTAGGTGACAGCTCAAAGATGACTCTAGGACCCCATCCTCATCCCAGCTTCCATTTCCCTCCTGTGTCCCTAGGTGCCGTGGATGAGGAGGGGCGGATGCCATTCTACGCAGAGGAGTGTGCCTCCATGCTGGCGGTCACCTTCAGTGGTGGGGACAAGATGCTTCGGAGCATCGTGAGTGTCTCCCAGGCCCTCTACAGACCCTGCCACTGTCCCACAGGACACCATGGGGCAGGCTTTGCAGCATGTTCCTGTCCCCTGCTTTCCCATCCTGAGCCTCAGGTGCCACCTCCCCAGCAGAGCTGTGTCTCTGAAGGTGCCACTGTCGGGAGAGCCAAACTGAGGCCTCTGGAGAAATCTGTGGAAATGGCTTTTGTCTTCAAATTGTGACTTAGGACAAATATACTTAGAGAAACAAAGCATCACATTCATTAAACAACTTCTTTGAAATGTCTTCCTTCGATAGAATTTGGGCTTTTGCTAACTTTTGTGGACTTAAAAAAAGAATCATCTGCTCTTCAGCCCTTAGATGAGTCATGTTCATATTCAGGAGGAAAATTGGTAGTTGTTTTCATGGGATGGGTGGGAAAAGGAGTCAGGGAATGTCTCGTGTCAACATGAAAGAGAGCTCTCTCTGGAGCTATACTTGGAGTTGTAGCAAATGAATCAGGGAGGGGAGTGGAGCTTCTCTAGCCTGTGAAGCCAGTTAAAGAATTCAGGGGTCGTTGTCTATGCCCGGCTGGACTTAGCTCCATCCTGGCAGAGATAGGCCAGGTCTCCAAACCATCATCCTAGAACTCCCTGCCTGTCCTGTTGTCCATTGTAATGTCATATGGGGTTAGAAGGCTCTAGGCCAGAGCTGGGCTGGAGCCAGGTGGTGTCAGATTTCTCCAGTGGCTGGGTTGCAAGGTCTCTCTGGGGCCACTGGGAATTGGGCTGCTTTGTCTTCCTGTTGGGTCAAATTTATTTTCCAAAACTGAAATTTTGTTATGCCAATAAATGACTTCTGGTCAACAAAATGTTCCAAGGCTCTATGCCAGCTGACCCCTACCCCCTCGCCCTGCCCTGGGGATAAGAGAAACGGGAGTGGACTGAAGTGGAAAGGCAAGGAGAGGCTAAGCTCAGCAGCCTGAGCTCTGTACACAGGGCACCCGGCCTTGGCCTGGCTCGGTTAGGACGATGCGAAGGAACATGCTGTACTCTTCACCCTGAAGTTTGGGGAAACTGAGCTCACCCCTGGCGTAGCGAGAAACCCAGGAAGTCTCTATAACACAGTTGTCACTCTTGCTCTGGTATACCTGGCTTTTCTCCTCCTAAGTCAGCTCACTCTTACCCCCACCTTCCCTCTGAACTGCAATTTGTCCAGAAATGAAGAGAGGTTACTTAGCCAAGTTTCCATCTTTGGAATGTCCTTGCATTGGAAACCTGGTGCCAGTTTCTATTCAATGGCCAGGGCAGCTGGGTGGAGCTGTCTTTCTGAGGCAGAGGCTGGGGCATATGCTTCCCACTATTTGGCTGCCTGGGGAAGCTACTCTGGACTTTCCCATGCCTGCCCAGGGCTGCTGCCACCATGGGGAAGTTCATGGGCTTCCCAGCTGCATGCTAGACTGTCACTGTGAGGCTATTTTCCTTAACGGGCAAAAAATCAATCTGTTCCCTAGCACGGACAAGGCTTCCCGCTCTCGTTGAGACTACAACAACTTGGACAGAGTTCTTGGGAGTGTACAGTATCTGGGTGAAAATTACATCTCTTGGCAGCTGCTAGAGCAGCTGGGAGGGAGGCAATGAGTACAATGGAGAAAGGGCAGCTCTTGGCAGAAATTGGCACCCTGGTGTCCAGCCCAGAAGACAAATTTGGAAGAAAGAAATTTTCTGGTTTAGTACTGGCACCATGTGCCAAGGATCCAAGCTCCACCGGATTCCAGCAGGGCCCTCCTTAGCTAAACCCTCTGGGGCTCCAGGGTTGATGAGGGCTGAAAAGAGCTTGATGCCAGACAGATGTTATCTTTCCTTCCTCCACTCTTGCCTTCCACCTAGAACCACAGGTAGAGAGAAGGGGACTTATGGCACCCAGCCTGGCGCAGTGAAGCAGTTGTCCTGTCGAGGGCCACAGAGTGCAGGCAGGCCATGTAGACACTGAGCCCAGGGCGAGGCAGGGCACAGCTCTCCCTGGGAACACATTCCCTGTGTTCCTACTGAAGCCACTCCAGCCTCTGTCACTTAGTTGCCAAGTTGGATTTCCTTGAATGGTGCCGTCACTGTTGTCCCAGCTCCAGCTGGGGCCCAGTAGCTCCCCTGGCCACTTCCTTTGTCTGGCTTGGTTGCGGGGGTTAGAAGGCTAGGAGTGGGGGTTGGGGTAGAGAATTTGGGAATGGGAGTAAGAATATTAGAGGAGCAAGACTCAGGAAACTTGCCTGCACTGGCGCCCTCCCACATCTCCATCTCTTTCCCCACGGTCAGACCCTCAGAAGTAACTTTAATTTTTATTTTCCTTATCTCCATTCTCCAGCATTCTCTTAGGAGGCCAAAAGGATTAAGGACCTCCTTTGCCCTCCCTGCTAGTGGGCCTCCCTCTGGTCAAAGATAAAGCTCTAACCAAGGAGGGTCCACCCGAGAAGCATGTTCTGAGGACCAGTCCTGCACCCTTCTCTCTACACCACCTTTGAACTCAGTTTCTAACCCACTCTCCCTCTCCCATCCCAGGTGACCACTGACTGGGACCTGCAGAAGGGCACCGGCTGCACCGAGGGCCACACGGGGACTTCAGCTGCAGCCCCTCTGGCAGCTGGCATGATAGCCCTGATGCTGCAGGCACGGCCCTGCCTCACGTGGCGTGACGTCCAGCACATCATTGTCTTCACAGCCACCCAGGTGAGATCCCAACAGGTGGACAAGTGGCCTGGCCCCGCCTGCCCCAGAGTTCAGGTATCAGGATGCTTCAGATTCAAAATGTCCCAAAGTGAGGCACCAAGTCACTTTCCGAGTTGTGTGTATAAAGAACAGGTGTGGGACCCCACAGAGACCACAGGCCTGAACCTGTTTGCTCCTATTCTGCTGATGCTGGTACCTACGAAGGCGGGCTCTGGCTGGGCTCTCCCTCATGCCTCCTGGCTCTCTAGAAGCAGGCCACTGGGGTGGTGACATCATGGGCTTCGACCTTTTGTCCCAGCTTTCCTTGGGGAATCCATTCCTGGTAGCCTCAGTGGGAGAGTCTAGACTGGATCAGCCAACAGGGTGGGCAGGGAAACCGAAGTTGGGTTGTTGAGATTACATTGTCAGTGAAGCGACTAACCAGGACCTCTGTCCTTCCAGTATGAAGATCGCCGTGCAGATTGGGTCACCAATGAAGCGGGCTTCAGCCATAGCCACCAGCATGGTTTTGGCCTGCTCAATGCTTGGAGGCTCGTAAATGCAGCCAAGGTGAATGGGTGTTGGCAGGGTGTCCAGTGTGGAGTGACCGAGTGGGGGGCTGAATGCCTGAACCACTGCCTGGCACGTTGTAGGTGCCGGGTAAATATTTGCTCATTTCATTTATTTGGCTATCTTTACCCTCATCCCATTTTACCAATGAAAAGGCAGGCCGAATACTGTAATGAAGTCTCCAAACTGTTAATAGAGAGTGAATGGGACCTGAGTGTCGCTTGGGACTCCCAGGGTGCCCTGGTTCTCATCTTCCACCCTGGACACAGCCATCTCCTCTGGTTCCTTGATTTGGTGCCGTAAGGAGTATTCCAGGTTGTCAGCCAGAGCCTCTGGAGTAAAAGAAGGTGACGAGGACAGGAAAAGTAAAGCAGGGCTAGGCCTTGAAGATCATATTGACAAGCGTGTGTGCATGTCGTGTGTTTGTGAGACCGTGACTGTGATCAGTCTTGTTTGTTGATTTCCCATCCCTCCCTTCCTTTAATAGATCTGGACATCTGTCCCTTACTTAGCATCCTACGTCAGTCCCATGATAAAAGAGAACAAGGCTATTCCGCAGTCCCCCCGATGGCTGGAGGTCCTGTGGAATGGTAAGTGATCAGCACCAGTGGGGTTAATCTTAGGCCTGAGTTTTGGGGCGGGGTGATGGGGATGTTAAACTCATCCTCCCTGCAGGACTCTACCCCCTTCCTTCAGGAGCTGAGCTCCAGCCAAACCTGTGGAGTTTTCTTTGACCATTTTAGGACATGTTGCTGCTTCTGAGTTGGCTGGCCCCCTGGCTGCTTAAACAAGAGCTGTCTCCTGAGTTACTAGTAGTGAAAAGGAGTTGTGGAGGAATCAGCTAACTGTGGTGGGAAGCGAGGGGCTGGGACTTGGAGAGACTAGGCTAGAGTGGAAGGAGTTCCTGTGACTTCCAGGTTAAGATCTTGCCAGAGAACTCTGTTCAGCCCATCGGCCTTTGGATGAAGTAAAAGAGTTGGGAATTTCTTCCTTTGATTCTCAGGCTTATCTAAATAGTCAGATGTGGTCTGCTGGGGGTGGGACAGAGTCTGTAGAGGTTAGACTCCAGTGGCCTGTCCTCTGCCCCTGCGTGCATGGTCCCAGGGTCACCAGGATTGTCTGAAGGGGAGGGGGAATCTTCAAAGTCAGCGATCTGGTTGTATGTCAAGCCCAGCAGTGGAAGCCCTTCCCCGAGAAGAGGGAAGCTAAATCAGGATGTTCGTGCTGGAGGATCCTCCATCTGTTCATTTCCTAGTTTTCCCTACCTGAAGCTCCTTGGGGAATTTTTCTTTCCCAAAACTCTGTCCTCACATTTCCTGTCCTCCGAGGACTTGGTCACAGCAGAACCCTAGCAGCACAAGGCAGGGCCAAAGAAGGCAACTTAGGAGGGAGGACGGGGCACTGCCCTCGGTGGAGGTTTCACAGAGAAGAGTTGAGTTGTCTCTTTCCCCAGCCACATCCAGGATTTGTCCAGTTTCCCTCCACATGGAATGAAACCCATGGGCCCAAAATCATTGCATTGTCCGTAAAAGGAATGTTATCTTGGGAAGCACATAAAGCGTCAGCCAAGGCAGAGAAGTTCCGAAACGTTCCCAGGAATGCAGCTCAGTTGGAACCCTCTGGCTGTGCCCTCGCGTGTCTGGGAGCTGGTGCGCCTTTTTACTTTCCCTCCCACCCAGGGCTGCTTCCCATCACATCTGTCAGCGAGGGAGTTGACTTGGAAGAGGATTACGGTCCCTTCCAGCTTTGTGGTCCCTTCCAGCTTTGTCGCACTTTGCTTCCCGCCAGCCAGAGTATCTGACAGATTTCCCTGGATGTTGAGGCATCTGGCAACTGCTCGCTTGTCACTAGGAAGCAAGAGGAAGCAGGACAAATCACCCTGGGAGGAGGAGAGTGGGAGGTGGTCTGGTGGGGAAAGCAGGAGTAAGAGAAGGGAGGGAGGGAGGCTGTCGCAGTCCCTCGCACCTGTCATCCTAGCACTCAGGGAGGCCTTTGAGCTCAGGAGTTTGAGACCAGCCTGAACAAGAGTGAGACCCCATCTCTACTAAAAGTAGAAAAACTAACTGGCCATCAGGGCAGGCCCTTAATAGTCCCAGCTCCACAGGAGGCTGAGGCAAGAAGATCTCTTGAGCCCAAGAGTTTGGGGTTGCTGTGAGCTGTGATGCCAGAACATTCTACTGAGGGTGACAGAATAAGCCTCTGTGTCCAAAAACAGAAAAGCCAAGCTATAAGTCATTTCCACCGGGACCTGGTTGATTCAGTGTCTAGAGCCTGGAAAGTGCCTTTTTTTAAGGCAGAGAGAAGTGGGCATCCCTAAGATGGAAGAGGAGGTACTACACCTCTAAGACTTGTGAGCAGCACTGTCCCCCAGGACTTTCTGCAGTGGTGGAAAGACTCTGTATGTGCTGCCCAGCTCAGTGGCCACGTCAGCCTGCTGAACATTTAAAATGTGCCTAGTATGATTGAGGAACTTCATTTTATTTAATTATAATTAATTTAGATTTAAGTACCCGCCTGTGGCTAATGGTTACCATTTTGAGAAGCGCAGCCTCAGAGTAAGGGAGGTGTTTATTTCTTCCCACTGACAGGAGGTTGTGAGGGGAAGGAGATTGAGGTCCCTTGTTTTTTTTAGATCTGACACTGGGTCTCAAGTCGCTGCCTGAGGGTGGGAAGGAGAGTGGAGCTTTGGCAGGAGTGTCTCATAGACAAGAGAGTAGATGTGTACACCGGCTAATCCTCCAGTCGTGCCCCAAATCCTGTTCCTTCACTCTCCACATCTTTCCTCTTCATCCCGCCATTTGCCTCTCTACTGACTCTTCTGCCTTCAAATCAAAATCCCTGCTACTGGGGCCGCATGTAGTGGCTCACGCCTGTAATCCTAGCTCTCTGAGAGGCCCGGGTGGGTGGATCGCCTGACCTCAGAAGTTTGAGACCAGCCTGAACGAGAGTAACACCCCGCCTCTAAAAAATAGCTGGGCATGTGGCAGGCGCCTGTAGTCCCAGCTACTTGGGAGGCTGATCACTTGAGCCCAAGAGTTTGAAGTTGCTGTGAGCTATTAACGCTATGGCACTCTACCAAGGGCTACAAAGTAAGACTCTGTCTCAAAAAAATAAACAAATAGGCTCAGCACTCATAGCACAGTGAGTAGGGTGCCGGCCACATACACCAAGGCAGGCGGGTTTGAGCCTGGCCCAGAGCAGGTAAACAATGACAACTGAAACCAAAAAATAGCTGGGCATTGTGGCAAGTGCCTGTAGTCCCAGCTACTTGGGAGGCTGAGGCAAAAGAATCGCCTAGGCCCAAGAGTCTGAGGTTGCTCTGAGCATGATTTCATAGCACTCTACTGAGGGTAACATAGTTAGACCCTTTCTCAAAATAATAATAATAAATAAATAAATAAAAATAAAATCCCTGCTACCATTCATGCAGTAACCTTTTATTTTTTATTTTTTTTTTATTTACTTGCTTTTTTTTTTTAAGAGACAATCTCACTTTTTTGCCCTGGGTAGAGTGCTGTGGCATCACAGCTCACAGCAACCTCCAGCTCTTGGGCTTAGGCAATTCTCTTGCCTCAGCCTCCCAAGTAGCCAGGACTACAGGTGCCCACCACAACACCTAGCTATTTTGTTGTTGTTGTTGCAGTTTGGGCGGGGCTGGGAATGAACCCACCACCCTCGGTATATGGGGCCAGCACCCTACTCACTGAGCCACAGGTGCCACCCACCAGTAACCTTTTCAAATGAATGAACTGAAGCACTTGCTCTGCCATTGAAGACTACCTTGGCCCCTTTCCTGGGCTGCTTCAGAGCCCATCCCTCTCCCCCTCTGGTCCCTCTGACCCCTTCCCTGAGGCTCTGCTGCAGCCTCTCTCTCCCCTGGCCCTGCCTGACTGCCTTTGCTCCAGAGCCCTCTCTGGCTTCTCTGCCCAGGGGCTTGTTTCCTTTGTTTGCTCTTTACTCTACAACCCTGAGTGCCATGACCTCAGCTACCACCTCTCCACATGATTCCTAGATCTAACTCTCTTATTCTGATCCTTTATCAGTGAGAAGGATAGAGGTTAGCATAGCTTTCGCAAGATTATAGGCAGATAGAGCCCTGGCAGTATTTTCACCTGTCAGAGGCTGAGGATTGAAACCCCACCTTACCAAAGGCCAAATAATAAGACGAGGATCATCAGCGCAGACCTGAGTGCTTCTTCTGTGCCAAGCACTCCTTTTTGGATTGTGTTCCTTTTTGGATTCTTTTCTGTTCCACAGTGTTCCATACACTCATTTACTCACCTGTAACCCACTTCCCTGCCAATTAGTGCTCTCGTCCAGCTGTGCCATGAATATTTTCCTTTATCTTTCTATTCCTAAATCACTGTGTGCTGTTGATAGTCTAGCAATACATTGCATTTAACACAGATAAAATTTTAGATCTCATCATCGCTTCTCAAAGCCAGCTTGCTCTCCCAAGTTTCTCCCATTTATGTCCGTGCCATCACCATTCCCGTGGCCCCCAAACTTGGAACTGTGGCTTTTTTAACCCCTTTGTATCCCTTGTCTCTCCCCCATGTCTTTCCCTGGCCTTTTCTTATAATTTAGTCTATTTTTTTTTTCTCTAAAATGTCTCTTTAATGGATTTGCCCATTCACTCTACAAATACTTAAGACCTACTTCATCCCAGGCACTGTATTGAATTCTAGGAATTCAGAGTCAAGACATGATTCCTGCCCTCAAAGAGCACACAGTCTGGTAGGGAAGACAGCCCAGTTTGCAGGTATAATGCAGTGTCATAAACACTGTAACAGAGATGACACGGGTGCTTCGAGAGCACAGCAGAGAGACATCGGCTCACAGAGAAGATGGAAGGGTTTTCAAGCTGGTGACTGACCTAAGTTGTACCACATAAGCTAGACAGGAAAAGAGGCGAGGAGATAGACATCAGGCAGCAGTGACAACATGGACAAAGTTTATGGGGTCTTTAGGGAGCTGCAGTTAATTCAGTGTGACTTGAGCATGAGAGGCAGGGAAAGAGGAGGACCTGAAACTGGAAGTGGCCGTGCCACATAGAACCAGATTTGCCCTGATTAGGAATTTGAGCTTCATGTTGAAGTCTGTGAGAGCCTTTGAGAGAGATTGTCACCAATTAACATTAGCAGGAAGGCAAAGAGAAAGGAATCAGAGATTTGAAAAAGAGCTCTTTCACCCTGGCTAGAATGCAATGGCAGCATCATAGCTCACTGCAACCTCAAACTCCTGGGCCCAAGCAATCCTCTTGCCTCAGCCTCCCGAGTAGCTGGAACTACAGGCACCTGCTACCACACCAGGCTATGTTCTCTGTTTTTATTAGACAGAGGGTTTTTTTTAGGGGGGACGGGGGGTTGTTTTGTTTTATTTCGTTTTTTGAGACAGTCTCACTTTGTCGCCCTCAGTAGAATGCCATGGCATCACAGCTCACAACAACCTCAAACTCTTGGGTTTAAGCCTCCTGAGTAGCTGGGACTACAGGTGCCCTCCACAATGCCCAGCTATTTTTAGAGACGAGGTCTTGCTCTAGCTCAGGCTGGTCTCAAACTCCTGAGCTCAGGCAACCCACCTGCCTCAG